CATATAAGAGACCAGAGCTGATAGTTTGATATTAATGCATGTACTACTAGATATCCAGTAAGAGGTAATATAAATTGAAAAAAAGAAAATACAGCAAAGTACGGATGCTAAGTGAGTTTTCTATATAGATTCTTCTTGCCGAAAAATAGGTTTTAATTGTTAAATGTAAACCAGTTTACAAATTTAAAATTAAATGACTATGTAAAGAAGGTTGCAATGTACTTTTATATTTATAATCTAATTACTAACAGAGAAAAAAACTTTTTAAATTAAAATGAAAGCTGTCTCTAGTTCTAAAATTTGGATATAACTAAAATATTAATGTGAATAAAATACAATGCAACAAATTAAAAGACAACCAAGATGACTGTTAAAATGACAAACAATATCAAAATACAAAGAAAAAATACAAAAAATAAAATTGGAATACCCTCACAGGAAAATCAAAACACAGACAATGAAAATGTAACGCAGCCAAATATTCTAGTTAAAATCTAAAAGAACACTATATGTCAGATTATAACATGTAATATACTGCCACAAGAACCTATTGATTAAAATCTAAAAATGAGAAAAAGTCTACTATAAACTACATATGTATTGATTTATATCTATATAAACAGTATTGAGTATTCTATTAGTTAGTCCAACAGTCACGAAAGATTTGCACTACAAGCTTCTTTAACCAGACTTTGGCCAGAACAGGGTCAGGGTGTATACCGTCTGGATAAAGAGAGACGTTGAAGTATTTCCTTTGTTTCTTTCCTTTGTGCTTTGAGGTTTTGCAGTTGGAGGTTCTATATAAGTCGTAGGAAAAATCTGGGGAGTGTGTGCCAAGAGAGGAATTGATGGATTTGACTTCTTTGTTTAGTAATATAACTTGTTGTTCCAGTAGGTGATCTTGTTCCAAAAAAGTTGATGGGTCTTTGTGTTTTTGTTTTGTATTCCAATTGACAATCGAATAGAAAGGCGTTTCCAGAAAGGTAAGCTTACAGTTTGGGAATTTAGCAAATAATTGTATTATGTCTTTGTATGTTGTTGTAATTTGATCTACAGTTTCTTGAGATTTTGAGGATGATAGGCAGATGTATCTAGTACTGCGATCGAATGAAGTTAGATTACATGTGCCAACCCAGATGTACAGCCAGATATCTCCAATGAGTTGTATTTCTGTTTCCAAATTAGTTTTTAGCCAGTCAATAGCCTCGTGTACTTTCCTACCTCTCTTGCACCACCATATGATGTTACTTTGGTCTTTGTGAATGAACTGTTGTTGCAGTCTGACGCCTTTACTATCTGCCAGAATAACAGGTCTATGAGTCCTTTTTCCTGTTGGTCCCTCAATGCGTTTATTACCGAACTTGGTTAACTTTATCAACGACATAAACCCTATGATACAGATAATACACAAAAAACAAAAAAGATTTTAAATATGTACTAGTATGTACCTCACTGAATATGCACAAGATTAGTAGATACCTATTGTCGGTGTAGCGCGGAAAAACCACACTGACCAACCGAGGTATTATACAGTGCGAAAAAAATTTCACTATGGTATTTAAATTAAATTTATATATCAAATTGTCAAAAATGAGTGGCTAAACACCTGTACTATTATACTAATACAACTTATTGAAGAAGAGAACACAGTTTCTCTTCATGCAATACAAAGTACAATAGCAGACAATAGCAGACAAAAGGAACAGATGACAGTGAATAATTTCTTATCCTTATCCTTATGCTTATCCTTTAAGTGTCAAGTTTAAATGCCGGTTTTATCCGGGAGTGACACCACCACTGGATTTTTTTTTTTTTATAATAATACCCCTCAATAAATTTATCAGAATTATCAACAGTAATGTAAATATTTGTTTTAATCCGGATTAAATCAATTTGAAATGATTTGGGATTGTGAAAAAAAAAAAAAAAAATTAAAACAAAACAAAGAACAAACAAATATGTCTTCCCCTTCTTAATCAAAGATGGCGGTTTGCCGGGAAAATTATGAACTAACTATCTGGATTTGTCAGAATTCTGGCGTTTACCAGGGATTTTTTTTGTGTATAATACAAAGGGATTAAATGTGAACGTGTAGGGATGATTGTGCTATACAAAGGTTTTGAAAAACAAGTGATAATGCAGGAATGGTGAAAAATTTTCAGCTGAGCTCAAACGATGCGTCCGTCTTCTCGGCCTCACTTCCAACTACCCTGTCCAATTAGCGTGTGACATGCTGTCACATTTTTTCGAATTGCTCGGGATTTATCATAACATACAATGAATTAAAACGAAAATAAATGTCCGATAAAAATATTGAATAGAAGCATGTTTTCGGCTTCTTTTTGATAGCTGAGGGAAAGTTATGATGATAACAAGACTCAGCTAGTGATTTTAGGAAGCGGCCATTGAACGCACGGGCGTGTTTGCGTACCATAACGAGAACATTGCTAGAGCGATAAACACGGGGTTCCGTCAAAAACGAAATCAGTTGGAAAAAGTGAAAGGCCAAATCAATTATGACATGATATGTAGTTTGAAAGCATCGGAAACCAAAAGTTCTGATAAGGGACAACTTAACCCAGATTTATGTAAATTGAATTAAACGAAAACAGTTTATATATTATTTTTTTCATTTTAGTTGATGAGTGAATACACATATCCGTTTTTTACGTCAATGCAGCTTGACACTTTCTGTGTTTTGGTCTAATTGTTCTAGATGCTTAAGATAGTTGTCTTATTGGCAAGTGCAGTATAACATTGTCATTTATTTACTTGATGTTGCAGAATTATTTGTAAATTTAAGTTGAATGTGGTCTCCGTCATTATAAACCACCCTATAAACCTTAAGGTTTTGGGGTATATCTTAAATCTGGAAACTACTTTTTATTTTTATTAAAAAGTTGATCTGGCAAATAGGTGAAAGGACTGGCAAAATTTTCTTACAGCACCTAAATTTCACATATATTACACAAAAATCTAAACACTTAGCCACACCTACCCCAACTATAATTAAACTGTAGGGTGATCATATGGGATCTAGAAAGGCAATTAGTTCCTGTCCAACTAGTGACACTAGCTGCAGTTTACATAAGTTTTGAGAAAATACAAAACTGACAGAACGTTTAAAACGGGACACAAATTAAATGTACAATTGCTTGTCAGTGATTAAACCAAATAAAACAGCTAGCACATATTCTACAAAGAAAGAAACACATTTAAGATGGAAACACATCTGGGGTTGATATAAATATGTGATTATAACATGCCTAAATATTCAATATTGTGTTGATGAAAAAAAACCAATACATTAAGGAGCTTGATGGTGAAAAACCCAATTTGATATTTGCTTGAGGGGTGAATTGGAATTGATAATGCAATTAAAAAACTTTATCACCCAATTACATAAAAAAATGGTGGGTAAAAACCCCAATTTGTGAATTCTTATCTGGAGCTCTGTGATTGCCAAATATTAAGAGACAAATATCCTCCAAAGTTCAAATTAAAGTTTCAAGATGCATCCTGTAAGAAATAAAGGCAACCATGTGGACTTCAACAATGAGACAAACCCATATCTCCAGCTGTAAAAGGCCCCGAAATCAAACATTGACATAAACAGTTCAATTGAGAAAATTAATGTCCTGATTTTAGTAAAACATGGTAAAAACAATAAATGAAAAACATACATGTATAATTATGACATACATGATCATGATGATATACAGCAACTAATCAGTAATGACAACTATCAAATCACAGGTTCCTGACATTGGACGGGAACACGCAGAAACTTGCGGCTGTATGGTTAAACATATTTGCATGCACCAAACTCTTCCCGATAATTACCTCCCCAAGTAATGTATTGTATAATGAAAAATTAACAAATCAAATCAAATCAAATATTTTATTGTCGTATAAACTTTACAGTTTGTGACCAACATGTATTAACACAATAAACATATCAGTGAAGGGTGTAACTTGAATAAGTTATTAGAGAAAAATAACATACATGTGTTATTACGGATACTTTCTCTTAATCTGTAGTAACATATGTTTGTTATCAGTTAAATGTACAATGTACCATAAAAAAATTTATTTTCAGTGGGCACTTGGGAATTCTTGAAACTTGGGCAGTAACTTAATACATAACCTTGAAAACTAATTTTCCAATTCAATTAATACATTTTTGATCAACCATGGTAAATCAATGAGACAAGGCTTCTAAGTGATAACTTAGCTGTAATAACAAGGCTTAGTTATTACAGGCATTTAACTTATTACATGAGACACTTGGGAATGACTCTTATCATTATTTATTACAATAAATTAAAATACATTGTGATATATGTAGGAGAAAAGGCTTTGAAGAGATGTAAAGAAGCTGTAATAACACCCTTTAGTTATTACAGGCATATTTTTTCTGTAATAATTATAACATGGGTGTGTTATGCATGATTGGCAAACTATGGGCTGTTATATCTTTCTAAAGTTTAATTTACATAAAGACAATTATAATATCATTAGAACTAGTACACAGTTTAACAAAATAAAGGATGTATAATGCCCCTTTGAAACATGTAACATACATACATGTATCTATCAAATATTATAATAACTACCAAAACTGAAAAAGACACAAAAACACAGAGCAGAGATATCTGATAAGAAAGTGAGATATATACATGGCAACTATTTTACTTTGTTTTTGAATTTCAAGATATCTCATATAATATATAAGATATTTCTCATTTAGTATATTAGATATCTTATACATGTTATATATTATATGAGATATCTTATATCATCTAAGATGTACATATTTAGATGTCATATACAGTATTGAAGTAGAACTTTCCTAAGTTAACATGTTGATATATGCATAAATGCAGAATATGTTGTAATACACCAAAACAGCATAGATATTTTATAGGTAATTTACTAGGGAGGTTTAAAATGATTTAAAATTGAAGGTTTTAGTCCTAACTTTTTTTTGTTTCTTACAGAGATAAACCTTATTACTAGGATGAATGTGGTAGAGGATTTAGTCACAATCAATGGTACCCTACACAGACATGTGGGAACAGAAGCTGGTAATAAACTGCATGAAAGGGATGTTTGTGCTAGAACAAATAGTCATGGTGGAGACTTAAAGAGACACATGAGAACAAATAGTTGTGGTGGAGACTTAAAGAGACACATGAGAACAAATAGTCGTGGTGGAGACGTAAAGAGACACATGAGAACAGAAACTGCTGAAAAACGTCATAAATGTGATATGTGTGCTAGAGAATTTACTACAGGTAGTGACCTTAAGGTACACATGAGAACACATACTGGAGAAAAACCTTATGACTGTGATGTATGTAGTAAAGGGTTTCGTCATCTTGGTAGTTTACAGATTCACATGAGAACACATACAGGGGATAAACCTCATAACTGTGATGTATGTGGTAAAGGGTTTAGTCATCTTGGTAGTTTACAGAGTCATATGAGAATACATACAGGGGATAAACCTCATGACTGTGATGTATGTGGTAAAGGGTTTAGTCAGCTTGGTAGTTTACAGATTCACATGAGAACACATACAGGGGATAAACCTCATAACTGTGATGTATGTGGTAAAGGGTTTAGTCATCTTGGTAGTTTACAGAGTCATATGAGAATACATACAGGGGATAAACCTCATGACTGTGATGTATGTGGTATGTCACGGAATAGGAGTTCCTTCATAATATAAGTTCCAAATGGAAACAATATTCTGGAATATTATTTCCACTGGAATAAATATTACAGTAAATGTTCCTAACGGAATAAATGGTATAAAATATTTGTTCCAACAGGAACAGATATTATGACATTGTTTATTACAAAGTTTCCAGAGGAACTTCTGTTAGGCGGAACAAATATACGTTGACAGGTAAAGGGTTTAGTCATCTTGGTAGTTTAAAGAGACACATTATAACACATACAGGTGATAAACGTCATGACTGTAATCTGTGTGGTATACGGTTTAGTCAGCTTGATTATTTACAAATTCACATGAGAACACATACAAGTTATAAACCGTATGACTGTGATGTATGTGGTAAACGGTTTAGTCAGCTTAGTAGTTTAAAGAGACACATTATAACACATACAGGTGATAAACGTCATGACTGTGATCTGTGTGGTATACGGTTTAGTCAGCTTGGTTATTTACAAATTCACATGAGAACACATACAGGTTATAAACCATATGACTGTGATGTATGTGGTAAACGGTTTAGTCACCTTGGTAGTTTACAGAGACACATGAGAATAAATACCGTCGACAAACCTCATAACTATGATGTAAGTGGTAAACAAATTTCGTCAAATTTAAGAATTCATATGAGAATACATTCAGGTGATAAACCTCATACAGATCTATAATAAACCGTATGACTGTGATGCATGTGGTAAAGGGTTTGGTAATCTTAGTAATTAACATAGACACATTAGAACACATACAGGTGATAAACGTCACATCTTTATTGCGTGGAAAAGGGTTTAGTCAGGATTATAGTTTGCAGAGACATATGAGAATACATACAGGTGATAAACCTCATGACTGTGATGTATGTGGTAAAGGGTTTAGTCAGCTTATTAGTTTCCAGAAACACATGCCATGATGAGAATGCATACAGGCGATAAACCTCATGACTGTGGTAAAGGGTTTAGGCAGCTTGTTAGCTTACAAAGACACATGAGAACACACACAAGTGCTTAAAGCCATGAAAGGGTTTAGGTAGCATAGTATTTTACAAAGACACATGATAGCACATACTTGTGATAAACTCCGTGAATGTTATATTATCATGTGGTAAAATATTTGTTGGGAGTAGTGACTTAAAGAGACACATGAGAACACTTACTGGTAGAAAACCTTAAAAATGTGATGTATGGGGTATAGGGTTGAGTGAAAGTGGTAATTTAGATAGACACACGAGAACATAGTAATAGATGCAATCAATTTACTTTTTGTGCCAAATAATTATTTGAAGAAGTGACTAAGTTACAGAGGACACATACTTATGACGAACAGCATTGATCATGTACATGTGATGTAAGCTGCTTTAGACTTGTTTGTAGAAGAAATGCTTTAAACATTTGTTAAAGAGACACATTAAAGATCATTAAAACACATACTTGAAATAACTAAAAAACTTATAAATGTATTGTATTAAGTAGTGGTTATAATAAAATGTAAACTAACAGACAAATGAGAACATATAGTATTACAAGGTTCTGGATTGGGATGGGTGGGGGTTTGGTGTTCCTTCATTTCAGTATTCTTTAATTTTAGGGCCATTTTTCTCTTTTCTTTACTCTGTTTGTCCATCATTCTGTATTCTTTACTCTGTTTGTCCATCATTCTGTATTTTTAATATTTTAGCACCTCATTATTCTCATTTCTTTTTTTTTTGGGTCCATTTTTCTCTATTCTTTATCATGTTTATATTCTTTGCCCATTATTCTTTTTGGCCAACGAGACAACTATCCACCAGAATTCAAATGATAAAGATAAAGCATTTATAGGTCACTGTACGACGACCTTCAACAATAAGAAAAACCAAAACAAAAAATAAAAAATGTGAATCAATTCAATCAATCAACTAACGACCTAATTTATACAATATGATTTACAAAAAACATATATGACAGACATGAACCAACGACAAACACTTAATTACAGGCCCTTGACTTGGGACAGACTCATCAAAATGTAGCGGTGTTAAACATGTTGCATAGCGCTAATTATATAAATTCTCCCCTAACCAGGGACATTGATGGTACATGTACATCACATCATACAAAACAAACTGTTAAAATCAGTTGGCGGCTAGAGAAACTCTTCGAAATTGGATGAACTAGCATGAAGTAGCTGTTATCTGCTATTTCATCGGGTTGTTGTCTGTTTGACATATTCCCATTTCCATTCTCAATTTTATTGTGTTTTTTTTAGAATCTTGCATTTCAGAAACACTCAGGTGTGTAACCGTTATATATACAGATATGTTATTTGGGAAATACTTTCAAATTGGTTATGTATAGAGTCATATAACAACACTTCAATGTTATGTGAAAATTCAAATAATTATATGTTATTTCTTTGATTAATTGGATCCTTTCCAGTCCATGCTGTCATGCATTTTATCTAAAATTGTTCGTTTATAAATTTTGAAATTATAAAGAAACTAAGGTTTCAACTCCCTCAGGCAAAGTTGACCTTAGATGAATTTGGCTATTTGTTTTAGGTATTTTTGTCATATAGCTCTTCAACGGTTTCGGTACTTATACATCCCTCGGATTTCAAATGTTTGGCTTCGAGCGTTCCTGATGAAGGTAAATCCAGAAAAGCGCTTCGGACACACGAAATTATTAAACGTGTTGTTTTCAATTTTTTACATCACCGGGTCGATACCTCTGGTGGTGGACTATCAGTCCCCGAGGGTATTATCAGCTCAGTAGTCAGTACTTCGGTACTGACTTGATTTAACAAACTTTTCTAAAATTGTCCGTTTTTAAATTATTAAATTATTTAGAAACTAAGGTTTCAACTCCCTCAGGCAAAGATGACTTTAGATGAATTTGGCTATTTATTTTAGGTATTTTTGTCATATAGCTCTTCAACGGTTTCGGTACTTATACATCCTCGGATTTCAAATGTTTTGCTTTGAGCGTTTCTGATGATGGTAAATCCAGAATAGCGCTTCGGACGCATGAAATTATTAAACGCGTTGTTTTCAGTTTTTTATCAATAATACTATCATATATTCAAATAACAAAATGATGTTGATGTGTTTAATCATGATACTTGACAATTTCTTAGGTATCTTAAGTTGTGTTGATGTGTTTGATCATGATAATTGACGAGATACCTTAAGTTGTGCTGATGTGTTTAATCATGATACTTTACAAGGTATATAAGGGGGATCTAGTGTGTGGATTTTGTATTAAAAAAAATGCAGGGTAACAATTTATGTAAAAAAAAAGGATAAACTAATGAAAAATGCAAGACCGAATAGTGTAAGATAAAAAGGAAGGACAAAGATTACAACTAAGAAATGCAGGACAAAATTTGTCATCTTAAATTGGCTATGCACGGAAATTTAGACAATAAGGGTCCCTATAATTTGCAAAGAGCCTTGTACTCTCTTTATATACTACTTTGTCATGCAAGGGTTTTACTGACGATCGGAAGACGACTAACAGTGATCATATTTATATTCCCTAATCACTCTTGTGGTTCCTTTTCGACATGAATATAGATTAACTGGTAAAGACATACGCGACAAAACAGATATAAGAAGATCGATGTGGTATGAGTGCGTCGTAGTCGTCGTCGGCGGCGTCCAGAAATATTCACTCTGTGGTTAAAGTTTTTGAACTTAAAATATTCTTGATTTCTACCAAACTTGGACATAACCTTGTTTATGATCATAAGATAGTATCCAGAAGTAAATTTTGTCAAAAAAAAAATCCTGTTTTTCCGTATTTTACTTATAAATGGACTTAGTTTTTTCTGCCGGGAAACATTACATTCACTCTGTGGTTAAAGTTTTTAAAATTTTAATAACTTTCTTAAACTATCCTGGATTTGTACCAAACCTGGACAGAAGCTTGTTTATGATCATAAGATAGTATCCAGAAGTAAAGAGGTAGGGCCAATTTCCACTGAATTTTTTTCACAGAAGGGCCAATTTCAAAAAGTGCTGAAAGAATAAAATTTACGATAAAAACAAGAAATAAAAATGTTTTTTGGTCAATATCTCGATTTTTATGTATTATGTTATGTCTGGAAAATAGTTAATTTAACCTCCAAAAAAGGATGAAAGTCAAATATGCGGAATTTACCGTGTTTTAGGTTGGAAAAACAGGGAATCCCCCTAGAAGGACACTTCAAACCAAAACAAAGTTATGTTTTTTGTTGTTGTTGTAATTTATACAACTTTCCCCCTCAAAAATTGAAATTGGTTTAGTGTGTCCTAAATACCTAAAAAACAACTTTTTTAATAAAAAGTGGAACATCACTAAATTTTACCTATATAGCTGCTTAATATCAATTATGTTTTCAAGAGTCGCCGTGGCTCCATCGGTAGCGCTTAAAACTGTAAATAATGGATTGTTTTTAAGATGGGGTTCAAATCTCATGCTAATTTTTCTCATTTTTTTATGTTGAAATATTAAAATGTTATGTTTCTATCACATTTTTTCGGATGTTTGTTTAATTCAAAGAGTCACACTGAAGTAGATGCTTGTACATAACCAATAACACGAGAATTGATTATATAGCAATGAAGCCCAAATGTTGTTTGTGTTATACACATAACGAAAAAAGGCCATATCAGAAAAATTTCAAAACAACAAAAATATTTTTTCTAAATCTTGAACAAGAACGTTTTAGAAAATAGTATGATATGTAACAAATGCAGACAGTAATTTTATCGCCAATCAACCAACTGTGTAGATACTAGTAATGGCATTGTTACATTGTACCACCGTCCCTACACCGAAACCTAAGTCATCAGAAAATGAAACAACACCACAGAAAAAATCAATTACACTACCAATCGTGACTGTAGGTAAAACATCAAGAAAGTGTTGAATCTGTATCACAACATAGGGTCGATCCATTTGGTACAATGCCATGCAGAGAAGACCAGATTACATGCCGTGTTTGTTACGCAAGCCGTTCTAGTACCAACTGGTGTAAGC